CCGGTGCAACTAGCCTGAGCCTCGGCCTACCCCAAATTAGTGGGAGAGCCGCGGCTGGGAACAAGGGGTTCCCTGGAAGAGACGTGTTTGAATGCAAATGATGCTTTCCTGTTTCTTCCTGCTTGCCCTCCGAGGGGCGCAGTGGAGACAGCTCGGTCCGACTGTGTCTGATCTATGACAGTCCTTGGACCAAAGCCCTCAACTCGGAGGCAAACCCGGCACCGTGCGAGGAAGTATCCACAAAGGGACCTGCAACGGGCCCCATAGAAGGAAAAACCTCCAGGGGCACAACCTCGCTGTAGCCGGTAAAATCAGGTAAACCACCTTCACTGTCGGGCCTCCTACTCGACGTCCCGGTACGCGAAGCACCGGTAGCCGAGCGTGAGGACTTTCCACTCATGCCAAACACGCAACTCACATTAATCGATTTTTACTGGTTGCGCGACCTTGCTGTGAAAATACAAGCGACGCGGTCAGTCTCAGCGATTTTGATGGTTCTGAAAAAATATCTCAGGCCTCAGAACTCCAGTGAAAAACACGCGCCTTCAAGGCAAAAACCCTGAACCCCGCCTGCCGCCACGGCAAAAAGCATATCTGATGCAGGTTCTATTGCTGGTAAATTCTGAATATAACCACTGCACAGTCGACTCGAAAACGATGAGACCAAAAAACGGCAGCGAGTCCTGGTGCTGTCATTACATCTATTCATTTCAAGACAAAGACGACATGCATGAGGGAAGCGAATTACAGTAGTAAAAGGTGACGTAACGCAATCAACAAGTGATTAAGCTACGACGCCCGGGTTTTATTTCTTTGTTGTGAAAAATGCTACACACAAAGGGAAAAAGACACGAGGGTAAAAATGCAAGGAAAACTTATCCTACCAGCTACAATGTCGGATGCCGCCCAGCGGCAACAACCCAAGCTAGAAACCCGGACAGGAAAAAGCAAGCGATCCAGGCAGAGCTCGCTAGATCATCTCCATTCGAGACGAAGAAAAAATCAGAGTGATTAGCCAGCCGTAATGGCGCCGCCGTAATGGCGCCGCCATATGGCCTCGTCACGTGGTTTGTGACGTAAGGGAAAAGAATCTTGGGGTCATGGGGCTTCCCCTGACCTAGATTCTATCTCTCCGTCATTAGCAGAATCGCTGATTAATGCCTACAGTTCAAAATAGTCATTTTGACTGACCGGAGTCTATGGTGGGTAATTGAACGTAGTGAATATACCATTATTTTTCAGTCCGCAAATTGCAAATTGCTATAACTACAAAACAAAGGCAGATAAAGTACATTCAATTTTCTAATAAAATAACGAAATCGAAGGAATTTTAATTTCCCTAATACAATATTTAATTTGCATCAGGTCAAATCTATGACCTTCCCAAATGAATTAACATTTCATTAGACATTTTTAAAATTTTGGCAAAAGACACAAAAAGAAAAGGAAGTATTGGTACGTCAAAAAACAAAACAGAACATTTAAATTTAGAACAATGTTCATACCTGGTCAGCAATATTTGAATACATCTCTACTCCTTTTTCCAGACTGACTTTTGGAGGGGAAACCAGTTTCCCTGGAAATGGTCCTCTTGATCCCGTTGCTATGAACAGATGAGTGAAAGGAACTTTCTCTCCAGTGTCCAGAACTACACTATTTTCATCAGTGTTTATTGAGGTCACTAAACCACGCTTAAAAACATCCCCATAAGTTTTTTGATATGGAATCAGTGTCTTTGGTGCAAAACCTGAAAAAAGAGATTGTATTTATGAAGCGGGAAGTCAAAAACATTGTGACATTCATTTAGAAATTGCTGAATCAGACCATTTTTCAACTTATAAAATATTTTATTAATCGATAAAACAATTTCTTGATGGACATAATTTTCAGTCATTTATTTCCCCATTTGCTTTCAGATAAAATCCCGTCATTGAATAAAAACATTTTCATTGATCCAAAATATTTTCCAACGAATCAAACTCAGTTCTTAGTCAATCAAATTAGTCATCACTAAATGATTTTAACTTGATAAAATCGTTTGTCACTAGATGAACAATTTAGTCACTAAATGATATCATTTGCCATTTAATGAAATCATGTCATTGGGTGAAAATTATTTGTCATTTGGAAGAAATGATTTGCCACTAGATGAAATCGTTTGTTACCAAGTGAAATCATGTCACTAAATGAAATCATTTGTCACTTAGATGAAATTAGTTGTCACTAAATGAAATCATTTGTCACTTGTTGATGAATCATTTGTCACTAAATGAAATCATTTGACAGAGAATTGAATAAACCTATTTGTTAGTGGGTGATAGTGATATTGGATCAAACCATTGTTCAAAGTAGGAACAGTCAGTACCTGGTTCTACGGCCGCTCTCAATGCCGCCATGTTATGATGGAATGCATCCTTTGGATCAATCAGTATCACATTGCATCGACCTTTCAGGTTATTCGCCATCTGTGTCCCACCATATCCACCACCTACTATCACTGCGTTCATGTTCTCTGGCAGTGGCAGTGGCTTTGAACTTCCAAACCCCATGATGAATAATTACTGATAAAAAAATACAAATAAAAAATATATTATAGCATCAAAACTTCTGTAATTCCCCTTTGTAATTCAAAAATGACAATATTTGTTATCCTAAAATATTCTAAATGTTCTAAATATTTTCTATTAAAGTGCGATGTCAGTTTTTGAAATGCTGCATTCTCATTGGTCAATCAGTACCACATGCAGCCCTGTTATCAGGCGATAGCCAGGCAGTGCTTGAGGTCAATCCACAAATATATGAATGAGATTGTATGTGTGTGACTATACACAATAGTCAATTCATAGACATTTGTGTGAATAGTTTAAACAAACTGACCATTGCTTGTTCAGGATAAGAAATCTCGGTAATTTTCATCTGGAATTTTACCTAACGTTGCAGGTAACTGAAATACAATCATTCATGATGCACACTACACACACACCGTCTCTTTTTTCTTCAGATTGACTATGTCTTGTACATTTACTTGTGCACATCCCCTCTTTGCTTAGCCATCACACAATAAGTGACAGTGTCAGATTCCTTCACTCTCTGAATAGCTTCATAATATAGTCCACAGAGGTTCCACGAATTGTATATTGAATGCTATAATAAACTATTGTGATCAAAAATTTTTTTACTATTTTATCAATATATTTATATTAACTACCTTTGCAATACTGAACCCTCTGGTGGTTTTAAAG